CTCCGGACCCCGGCGGGGGGGTGCGGGTCTGCGGCCCCCCCAGGCGTGGGAGGACGGGGAGCTGCGCAAAGGTCTGAGGTCGCCCGGAGCCACGCTCGTGACGCTTGGAGAGGAGGTGGGTGTCGTGTGCTGTGAATGGCGACGTTTGGAATGTTGGCTTTCATTTTGGGTCTGCCGAGTGGGGGGAGGTTGGCCACGCGCGTAGGGGAAAAGAGCGATTTCTTAGAGGCCCTGGGGTGCCCCCAGACAGTAGGGGGAGGGGTTGCTTTTGTCTTTAGACTGGTCAGTGGAAGAGGGGGATTTTAATGGACTGACAAGCCTGTGTTTCCGACTGTGAGAAATGGGACCGTGAGGTGCCGTTGTCGCGGCTCTGCCCTTAGTAATTGTCAGACGAGCAGGCCGCGGCGTCTAAGATGGCGTCGTCCTCTTCATTTCAGGTCCGTCACTGCAGCAGCCGCTGGCCGAGAACCGCCACACCCCGGGGGCCGAGGCCAGCTCCGCCCGCCCGCCCGCCCGCGCGGCCCCTCCCGTCGACTTGCTCGGCAGCCAATGGAGAAGCTACGGATGGCAAGACCTGCTGGTGCTTGGACGCCTGGGAAGACATTGTTGGAGACGGGGGCTGGGGAAAGGGTGCTGGAAGCGCCACCGGGATGGCTCCGGCATTTCTTGCGACCGCCTTCTCTCCCTGGAGTTGCCGGACCGCAGCACAGCCAATTGGCTCAGAGATGTGGTGGACAGCCGCTGCCCTACGGGGCTATGCGGCAGGACTTCTGCCTGGTGATTGACGCCTTGGAAGTGAGGTGTATGATGTCATCGCACAGTCAGCCAATAGAAACAGCTCCCGCGGAGAGACGTTCCTCCCCTTCGACTCCGTTTCTTCGCGCGCGGGAGCGCGCCGAGAGGGTGGGGGAATTCTCCGGCACGGTGGCGCGCATGAGCGGCGACGCTCCGCCCTCCCGCCTATATATAAAGGGCTGGCGCGGGGCTCGGCGGCGCCATTTCGCGCTGGAGCGGAGCAGCCTCTAGAACGAGCCGGAGGATTCGGCCTACTGATACACAGAGCCTTCGAGTCGTCTGGGGCCGCCATTACAATCCACGTCCATCCACTTGGAAATGGCCTTCGTCTCGGCCTATGACCAGCCCTGGCGGATAGTACAGACCCCATAGAAGCCCCCGAAGCTCCCCTTTTCCGGGCCCCGCCCAATCCTCGGAGTCTATCCACCCCCTCTACTCCGCCCTCAAGAGGATTTCAAAGATGGAGGCGGCGGCTCCTTAAACCACTTTTCCTGTTCATCCGCCTCCATCCGAGGTCGAACCGGGACTTTGCCCTCCTCGGAGGGCCCCGGCAGGAAGAGGGGACCCCTGCAGCTCAACAGCGGGCAGTATTGACGACGGTGTTGGGGATCGTGGGCCGTCCTTGCATTGGAAGAGCCGGTACCCCCGGCGCCCGCCCGCCAGCCACAGCTGAGGCCGCCGCCATTTTCTCGCTGGCCGCCGCCTGTAGAGCGCACCGAGGGCTCGCGGAGCTCTGCGGAGGAGCCTGCTTCGTGCCAGCTTGCTGCGAGGTTGTCGCCTGGAGAGTCAAGGGCAACGGCCCTCCCCCGCCTCCCGGGTTATGCTGGACCCGGCGGTGAGGGGAACCGAGGCCACCCGGACTGCCCGCGGCTGAGGTCGGCGCCGATTCCCCGCGGTCGAGATGCTGCAAAACGTGACTCCCCACAAGTAAGTCCGCGGGGCGGGGGGCCGGCGCCGCGTTCGGGGGCGCCGTGACGCCGGCGCAACTGTTGCCTCGCGGGGAGGAGGGGTTGGCGGCGGTTTGGGCGCCGTGGCGGCGGCCCGGGCTGCGCTCCCACGGTACGCGGCCGGGCCGGGGCTCCCCGCCGGCCGGCGGGCCTTGGGCCCGCACCCCGGTTGTGTCTCGTGGCCCCGATCGCGGGGTGGTGTGCGTTTGTGTGGGCTTTGCGGGGAGCGGGGCCTCCTGTGTCCAGCCTGCGGACCGGACACTCGTGCTTTGAGCCCTAGACGCTGGAAACGCTGGTGGGAAGGAGCGCCTGCGGGGGCGGGGGGTCCACTGGAAACGCTGCTGCTGCACCGGCCCCGGCCTCCCTCCGCGGTGCTGCCGCGGGGGGGGGGGGGGGGGCGCTGGTCTGCCTGACCTTGACAGCCGTTTTGCTTTGCCAGTCGGGGGCGGGGGGGGCGTCCGTCTGGTGGGATCATCTGGGGGCCGGCGGCTGGGCGTTTCCCGGCTCGAGTCCCACAAGTGCTCCCTGGTCTGAATTGTGTGCGCCCGCCGTGGACACTGCTGGTGCGCGGGGGAGGCTGGTCTCCCGCCGCGGAGATCAGGAGTCTCACCGGCTTGTCTGGAAACGATTCCCTATTTCGTTTCTTTCTTCCTCGTTTCATTCCCATCCCTCGAGGCGCAACCACCATGGCAACCTCCGAAGCCGCCCCCGGCGAGGAGGAGCCGGGCGCTCGCTTCTCAGCTCCACCTCCACCCCTGGGCAGCAGTAGTCGGTCCCCAGCTCTGCCCTGTCAGAAGCCCCACTGGGGGCTTTTTGTTTATTAATAAGCTGATAGGTGAGAGGGCCATGATAGGCTCACGGAGTCTCTAGGTAGGGCCTGGGTGGGCATTGACTGGCGACTACGACAAACACGACCGCTGCTCAGTGGGTCCAGAGCCTGGTGATTGGGTGTAGTGCAAGCTGTTTTCCTGGTTTGTTTGGGGGGGTGACCACATGCTCCTTTTGTTTCCTTTTCTCACAGGCTCCCTGGGGAGGGGAATGCGGGGTTATTGGGGCTGGGCCCAGAGGCAGCAGCTCCAGGGAAAAGGATTCGGAAGCCCTCTCTGCTGTATGAGGGGTTTGAGAGCCCCACAATGGCTTCTGTGCCGGCATTGCAACTGACCCCAGCCAACCCACCACCTCCTGAGGTGTCCAATCCCAAGAAGCCAGGACGGGTCACCAACCAGCTACAATACCTGCACAAGGTGGTAATGAAGGCACTGTGGAAACATCAGTTTGCTTGGCCATTCCGGCAGCCGGTGGATGCTGTCAAACTGGGTCTGCCGGTGAGTAGAAACACTGCAGAAGGGGGGGGGCTGTGCGAATGAAACAAGAGTGTGTGTGAGTTGACTGGGGGGGGCGGGTCCGAGTTTAGGTGCTGCGGCCCCTAGGAAGTTCCCATCTCTCATGTAATGTAGGCAGCTAGCCTTTAGATTTGAGTCCTTGATCTTTTGCCATTAAAAAAAATTTTTTTAAGGGCTTGTTAAATCTTTTTTGCAATTGTTGCCATCCGTTTACTGTGTTGGCATCTCACTGCCTCCCACTTGTCCCTCCTTAACTTTTGTGCCCTGGCTCCATTTTACAGATTCCCACCCCGGGTTGGGAGAGAACCACGGTGGCCAAAATTCTTAGCTTCTTCCTCTCTTTCATGCAGCCCATGGATAGCCAGGCCCAGAGGTAATGTTACAGGATGGGAAGCCCACCAGAAGCAGATGGGGCAAGGGCGGTGGGTGGTTAGAGAAAGGCATATGGCTTGGTGTTTATTAAATAACCCTTGAAAGTTTTAATGCCCTATACAACCTGGGGCCGCAGTTTTTGTAGAGTTTCATCCCCCTTCAACACATAAGGGTGTGTGTGTGTGTGAGTGAGTGAGTGAATGGGGGTGGTGGGGGTCCTGGGAGAAGCGGGATTCACTTTGCTCTGGCTGGTTTCTTTGTTTAGGATTATCACAAGATTATAAAACAGCCTATGGATATGGGCACCATTAAGAGGAGACTTGAAAACAACTATTATTGGGCTGCCTCAGAGTGTATGCAAGACTTCAATACTATGTTCACCAACTGTTACATCTACAACAAGGTGGGTTACTCTTCACTTAGCAGGTGAGGAAAAAGGATACTGGTTTTACCTCTGTAGAGTTAAAGGTTATTTTGATAGAGCGTTTCATGGTGGCTGTTTCTCAGAGCACCCTAGACACCTAGTTAGAACAAGACCAGTGTTGCTCCGTTCTAGCTTTCTTTTATACGCTACTCTACTTCTGGGTTAGTTTTACGTTCCCCTGGCCCCTAGTTGTACTTCCAGGGATGAGTGGGGAGGGCAAGTGGAAGGTGCGGGCTAGTGTGGCTAATCTTTGACAACAAGAGTGTCTGAGGTGTGTGTCCTTTCTGTTGATTTGTTTGTGTAGCCCACTGATGACATAGTCCTGATGGCACAGACACTGGAAAAGATCTTCCTGCAGAAAGTGGCATCGATGCCTCAAGAGGAGCAGGAGCTTGTGGTGACCATCCCGAAGAACAGCCACAAGAAGGGGGCCAAGTTGGCAGGTAGGAATATTGGGGGTTGGGGGTTGCCAGTGGATACAAAAAGTTGAGAAAGTGTCGGCTAATTTTTATTTCTTTTCGTAGCCCTGCAGGGTAGCATCGCCAGTGCCCATCAGGTGCCTGCTGTCTCTTCTGTGTCACACACGGCCCTGTATACTCCATCACCTGAGATCCCTACCACTGTCCTCAGCATTCCCCACCCATCAGTGATCTCCGCTCCCCTCCTCAAGTCTTTGCACTCCGCCGGGCCTGCGCTCCTGGCTGTCTCTGCAGCCCCTGCAGCTCTGCCTCTCGCCAAGGTGCGCTTCTCTGGGTCTCTTTGGGGTGAAGAATTGTTGAGTGAGGTGCAACTTGAAATAAGACTCCCACCCTTTTCTCTACAGAAAAAAGGTGTGAAAAGGAAAGCAGATACCACCACGCCTACACCTACAGCCATCCTGGCTCCTGGTTCTCCTGCTAGCCCTCCTGGGGCTCTTGAGCCTAAGGCAGCACGGATTCCCCCAATGCGAAGAGAGAGTGGCCGCCCCATCAAACCACCCCGGAAGGACCTGCCTGACTCTCAGCAACAGCACCAGAGTTCTAAGAAAGGAAAGCTATCGGAACAGTTGAAACATTGCAATGGCATTTTGAAAGAGTTGCTCTCCAAGAAGCATGCTGCCTATGCTTGGCCTTTCTATAAACCGGTGGACGCTTCTGCTCTTGGCCTGCATGACTACCATGACATCATTAAGCACCCCATGGACCTCAGCACTGTCAAGGTACCCACTGCATGGGGCAGATGGGGTACTCGGCAGTGATTGGAACCAAAGACAGTTAGTTAACCTTGTGGGGACATCAGCAGTCTTTTATTAAATGGATGGGACAGAAGGTCAAGTGCATCTTGAGAATTCATTCCTAGTGGTTCGGAACGGTGGGGGTGAATTTTCCTTGTTCGCAGAGCCAGTGCTAAGCTACTAACTGGAGAGCTGGGTTTAGGGTGGGGGAGGACAGAGGCTACCCCACCTCCTTTATCACTTAGCAATGGTTTCTTTTTCTAGACATAGACATTTCTTCAACCCACTAATCCCTTTGACTTCAGACTTGAACCCCAGGGCACAGATCCCTAAGGTCATCCCCGCGTGTGCCCTCAAGAAGGGGCTTCTCTTGTGGTGTCTGGGGTTGGCAGGGAAAGGTGAGTCTCCCTGCCTGTGCAGCTTCTGATGCTGCCTCCTTCTGCAGCGGAAGATGGAGAATCGCGATTACCGGGATGCACAGGAGTTCGCTGCTGATGTGCGGCTTATGTTCTCCAACTGCTATAAGTACAATCCCCCAGACCACGATGTTGTGGCCATGGCACGAAAGCTGCAGGTGAGTGTCAAGGTTCGGGTTTGAAGAGGAGTTCTAATCTGAGCCATTGTGAATTAGAACTGTGCTCTTAGGTGGCTAGGAATAATCGGGACACTGGTCTGCTAGCTTGGTTCTGAGTGTGCCTCTGTTTATAGGATGTCTTTGAGTTCCGATACGCCAAGATGCCAGATGAGCCCCTGGAGCCTGGGCCTTTACCAGTCTCCACCGCTCTGACCCCTGGCCTGGCCAGGTCATCATCTGACTCCTCCAGTGATGAGAGCAGCAGCGAGACCTCCTCGGAGGAGGAGGAGGAAGAGGAAGAGGAGGAGAGTGAGAGCTCTGACTCGGAAGAAGAACGAGCACAGCGATTGGCAGAGCTCCAGGAACAGGTGTTTATGTTTAATTTTTGGCCTCTTCGTTAATAGGATAAGAGGTGCATGGCCTATCTCCCTTTTTCTCACTAAGTCTTCTTAACTGTACAATAATTCTCCCCACCTGTTCATGGCTTTAATGTGTTGTTTTTTTCTAGCTTCGCGCTGTACATGAACAACTGGCTGCTTTGTCCCAAGGCCCAATATCCAAGCCCAAGCGGAAGAGAGAGAAAAAGGAAAAGAAGAAGAAACGGAAGTCAGAGAAGCATCGAGGCCGAGCTGGGGTTGATGAAGATGACAAGGGGCCCAGGGCACCGCGCCCCCCTCAGGCTAAAAAATCCAAGAAAGCAAGTGGGAGTGGCGGTGCCGCTACACTGGCACCTCCAGGCTTTGGACCTTCTGGTGGAAGTGGCACCAAGTGAGTTCTTGTTGGGTAGGAAGCAGAGAATTGGCTGTTTTTTCTTTTTTTCTTTTTTTTAATCATTTTATTAGGGGCTTATACAACTCTTATCACAATCCATACGTACATCAATTATGTAAAGCACATTTGCACATTCATTGCCCTCATCATTCAAAATATTTCCTCTCCACTTAAGCCCCTGGCATTAGGTCCTCATTTTTCCCCTCCCTCCCCGCTTCCCCCCTCCCTCATGACCCCTTGATAGTTTATAAATTGCTATTTTGTCATACCTTGCCCTGTCCGACGTCTCCCTTCACCCACTTTTCTGTTGTCCGTCCCCCAGGGAGGAGGTCACATACAGTTCCTTGTAATTGGTTCCCTCTTTCCAACCCACTCTCCCTCTACCCTCCCTGTATCACCACTCACACATCTGGTCCTATAGGGCTCATCCTCCCTGGATTCCCTGTTTCCAGGTCCTATCTGTACCAGTGTACCTCCTCTGGTCTAGCCAGACTGGCAAGGTCGCGTTAACTGGCTGTTTTCATAGTCACACAGTCAGCACAGACGCGCTGAAGCTCTGTGTGAGCAGACTTAGACGATTGGGTCTTGGTCACAGCTGTCGGTTCTGCGAGCGTAGTATGAAAGTAGCCATAAGCAAGCAGTATGTCAACAAGTGAGCTGTGGCTGTCTTCTAATGACGTTGTAAAGACTTTAATCCATTTGGACATGTTTGCCTGAACCTGGAAATTAGAAATCAGGCTTTCGGGGGTGGGGGGTGCCTTAAGGAGTAGGGAAGCTGACTGTTCATTTTGCTCATAGACACCCAAAAAAGGCCACAAAGACTGCCCCACCTGTTGTGCCGCCCGGCTTTGATTCAGAGGAGGAAGAAGAAAGCAGGCCCATGAGTTACGATGAGAAGCGGCAGTTGAGCCTGGATATTAACAAATTGCCCGGAGAGAAACTGGGCCGAGTAGTGCACATAATTCAAGCCAGGGAACCCTCGTTACGCGACTCGAACCCAGAAGAGATTGAAATTGACTTTGAAACGCTCAAGCCATCCACACTCAGAGAGCTTGAGCGCTACGTCCTTTCCTGCCTACGAAAGAAACCCCGGAAGCCCTACAGTAAGTGTGAAATGAGACCCATCTGGGGGTCCAGCACATTAGTCTTGAGGACAGCTTGGAGGAGGATGGGGTGCTTGGGGTCCTTAATTGTCCAGAAGTGTCGGTTACCTGTTGGGATGTTCAGCAAAGAAACCCGCTTCAGGGCCCTAAAACTTTATGGGGTGTCTCTTCCAGCCATAAAGAAACCCGTGGGGAAGACGAAGGAGGAGCTGGCTTTGGAGAAGAAGCGCGAGCTAGAAAAGCGCTTACAAGATGTCAGCGGGCAGCTCAATTCCACCAAAAAGCCCCCTAAGAAAAGTGAGTGGTGTTCTCTTGGGCGGCTACTGCAGATTCCCTAAGTACCCCGCCCCGCCCGCCCCCCCCAGGGCTGACAGTTCTGTGATCTCCCCGTCTCCCCCTGCAGCCAGCGACAAGACGGAGTGCTCGGCCGCGCAGCAGGTAGCCGTGTCCCGCCTCAGCGCTTCCAGCTCCAGCTCCGCATCCAGCTCGTCCTCGTCCTCTTCGTCGTCTTCAGACACCAGTGATTCAGACTCAGGCTAAGGGGCTAGGCCAGAACGGGCAGGAGGCTCCGCAGGACCGGACCCCTAGATCACCTGCCTCGCCCCTCCACCCAGTCCCCCCTTTTGGCTGTGACGTTTCCTCATCTCACCCTCCACTGTAGGAGAGCTGGCTCTACGGCGGGAGGGGTGCAGGGACATTTACTGAAGGAGGGATATGTGGACAAAGATCCTGCTGCATTCCCAGCCACCACGGGAGTGACCTTGGGCACGGTCATAAAGCCCCCGCTGGAGTGGATGGGGCCAGGGGTACAGGGTGGGAGTGGGCAAAGGCCCTAAAACGGTGTTACCCAAGGCCATCGCTGCCCTGTGTTGAGATTGATCGTTCTAATTTATTTTAAGCTAGGTAAGGCTAGGGGGTGGAGATAACGTGTGCCCCCCTAGCCCTCATAGGGAGGGAAGAAGGGGGGATCTTTTTTTTTACGTTGACTTTTGTTTTCTACCGTTTCCCCTTTCTCCTACATTTGGGACTCCTGGGGTTTCAACAGTCATCTCCCCATTTGGTCCCCTTGGACTGTCTTTCTCCTTGTCTGTTGATTCTAACTTGTAAATAAAGAAAATATTATTCAAGTTCTGAGTTAATAGCAATCTTACCATTTGTTTCTATTGTGCTTTATTTCTCAAGTCAAAGAAAAATGATTATCTGGACACTTTGAGAGAATGTTCTAATAAACTCACCATTAGCTAATGGTAATGGCTGTGGTGATTAAAAATGCACCAGTCCTAGTGAAGTACTTAAGAGAAAACGAGGCCTATAATTGGCTCTGGTTTTTTCGATGTAGAAAAACGCTAAAAATTTTAGAGCCCGACTTTGAAATAGTAGGTTTAAGATTTATTGCAATGCTCAACTTTGAACCCCCCAAACGACTAAGCCAAACTCTGTACCATTGACCCACTGCCATCAGCTCTTCCCTGTGAATCTCTGGACAGATGGGATTATTTCCCTGGTTTGGGTGGTGGTTGGAAACTGCTGGTCTTGGGGTTAGCGGCCATAACCACTAGGAGGTATGTGGAGTACACTTTAACACCCGCTAGATGACGGGGCCCGGGCAGTTTCCTACAAGATTAATACCGCCAGAGTTGAAAGCTTGACCCACCACTCGGTAGAACTCGAGTGAAAAAGGACTTCTAATTTAGTGACTTGATTGTCCTTCAATGAGTTCTTCAGCTCTCATTGCACTTGGGAAGTGTCACTGTAGCTCCTTCTTGGAGGCTTGTGTTGTGTATAACTGCCAGTTAACTCGTCCCCGTTTAACGGATGTGTGAGTTTGGAGGATGTTGGGCACAGGCGAGTATGGCTTGGAAAAATTTTCAATGGGAAGTTTCTAAACCTTGAAGGGGCTCTGACATTTTAGGAGCGAGTAGAACTGCTCCCAAGGAGTAGCCAAGCTAGTGGCTTCCTTCGTCCCAGTTTGGCTGTGCCAGTGCCTCCTGTTCACCCTTCGTGAGCTCGGATTCCCTGGGAACTGCCCTGATTAGAAGGTTCTACTTCTAGCAGAGTTGCGTCATGTTATGCTCGGAGCTGCTTCCCAACCACGAGGTTCCAAGGGATGAAGGGGAGGCTGCCACCAATCCCGTAAAAATTTAAACTCTTGGAAACCCATCTTTGCCCTGTCATGTAGAGCTGCTATGGATCAGAACTGGGGCTCTCAGGCTTCCCAGTGATTGATCCCAAGTAGCTTGCCAGGCCTTTTGGGAAGCTTCAGGTTGTACTCTCCCAACATTTGGGTTAATAACGGAGTCTGTTAACTATTTGCACCCAGCTTTTTAAGAACACATCAGCTGTCTCCAGCATGGAATGAGACGGCTTGTTGCTGTCACAGGGTTGATAGGTTGGGAACAGGGAAAGGGACAATAAATAGCTAATCCGTTTTGAATAGAAATTAGCTCTATGGCAGAGCAGCGTGCAAAGATCCCTGAGAACTTAGAAGAGAGTGTTCAGAAGTAATGTGAGCCAGAGCCGAGCTTCCTCAATGTCCAAATGGATCTCAGCAAATAAGTAATGATTGACTAAGCTGCGGGACAACGGGGTGGGGTGGGCACGACACTGCTAGAGGAGGAAACTGCTACAGTGACAATAACTGCCCTGACAAGAGCAAGCCCTTCCAGGGCAAGCCAGAAAGTTGAATAGAGTTAGATCATTTAGACTATGTTAAGAATTTCAATTCTGATCTCAAAGCCTTTAATAATCTCCTTTATTAAGCACTTACTATGTACCAAGTACTGTGCCCCAAACTGCTAGTTGACTCATTTTCCCCATTTAACAGATTTAAGAAATAAGGCCCACCAGTGGGTGAGTGCTGAGTTGGGATTTGAACCCAGGCAATGTGGTTCAGGTTCACAAAGACTACACTAGACTCCAATAGGAGCCCTAGTGGTGTAGTGAGTCGTGCACTGGGCTGTTAACTGCAAGGTCAACAGTTCGAGACCACAGGCACTCTTCTATTCTGCTAAAGAGTTGACAGTCGAGAACCCAGTTTGACCCTGTTCTATAGGGTCCCAATGAGTTGTGATGAACTTGACTGTGTTTTCTGAGGGGCTTCAATGGGTGTCGGTAGAGAGGAGACCATGATTTCAAGAAAATGCTCTGCGGTGAGGAGAATAACCCCGGTAGCTCAGTGGTTAAGTGCCGGGTGGTCGGGATTCATCTGCATCTCGGGCCGTTCCCTCCGCCCACCCATCCCTAAAGTTTACATCTTAGGAAACAGCCCTACTTTGTCCTTTTCGCTCCAACATGTGGGTGGTGGGAAGGGATGCAGAGTGACAATTTCTAAAGCAATCGCAGGGGTGCCAAGTGAGAGTAATGGTTTGGAGCAGAAGGGTAGCAATGTCCCTGAAGAGATACAGATTTGAAAGTAATGCCAAGTTGGAAATGGATGGGACTTGGTTCTCTGAAGATTCTTCGTTTATTTCCACACACTAAGGGCAGAACAGAGTTGTCTATCTCTCTGGTTCCTACAGAGTTCCCAGCTCAGAGCTTTCTAGTAGTGGAAGTGTGATAATTTATTGACCCAAGTAGTGCAGCCAGGCGACAAATTTGAAAATCCAGCGAGGCTTGAGGCTTGCAAAAGGGAAGAGTTTTCTGAGAGGCACCTGCAGGCTGGATCTTTGCCGCCACCTGGTGGACGCGAGGCATTGGCCAGCGACCTGCAAGATGGATGGTTCGAAACCACCAGGCGATCGTCGGGAGACAAATGAGGCTGACTTACAGCCTCGTAAACCCTGTATAAGGTCGCTGTAAGTTGAAAACGACAAAAAGGCGGTGGTTTGAGTAGCAATGTTACTGTTACTGAATCGCGTTTACTCTTACCATTTTTGTATCCACTCATCTCCTCTTGACTTTTTCTATACTTTAATTTTTGAAACATGGTCACTTTTATGACCCAGAGTGGCACAGCAATGAAGCTGTTGAAGTTCTTTTTTTAATTTTTTTAATCATTTTATTGGGGGGGTTCTAACAGCTCTTATCACAATCCATACATCCATCCATTGTGCCAAGCACATTTGTACATTTGTTACAATCATCATTTTCAAAACATGTTCTTTCGACTTGAGCCCTTGGTATGGGGCTGTTTAAGTTCCTATCTCGCTCGCTTTGTTGCTGAAGCACGTGACTTGGCTGACCCTGGTCTCTCTGACACCCCTTCCTCCTGGTCCCCCTACTCGGCAGAGTCACTCCTCAGTCTGCTTCTTTGTAGTTTGGCCTTCTGTGAGGTATCCATGGTGGCGTCTTCCTTGTGTTTCTCCCCCTTCCTGTCACATGCACATGCGGCCATTGAGAGCACCACGGCTTGGAGTGGGAGCACCTGAGTCTTCGAAGTTAACGTCCTTGCTTTTCAACAGTCTAAGCCCAAGAGGCTAAGGTCTTTTGCAACAGAGTTGCCTAAGGCTGCTTCCAGGAGCATGGATTGTGGATCCCAAGTAAAATGAAATCCTTGACTACTTTAAACTTTTCTCCATTTGTCATGATGCCACCTATTGGTCCCATTGTGAGCGTGTGTGGCCTTCTTCAGATTGGATTCTAATCCATTTTGAAAGCTGTCATCTTGACGTCCTCCCACAGCTCACCGGATCATTGGTCATGAGTGGTTCCATGTGTCAAATCTGGTCTTGAGAGGTTCTTGAAATTCAGGTGGAAGACTCAAGGGCGTGTGTGGACTCTGGTGGACTTGATTTAATTTTCTTCAGCTTTTACTTGAACTTACACTTGAGCAATTGATGGTCTGTTCCATAGTCAGCCACTAGCCTGATTTTAGCTACTGACATTGAGCTAGCTTCTCCACTGTCTCGTCCCACAGATAGAGTGAATTTGATTTCTGTGTACTGCATCTATTGTTGACAAAAGGCATTTGCTATGGACAAGTCGTTGGTCTGGCAAAATCCTTTCATGGGATCCCCAGCTTCAGTTCTACCAGCAATACCATATATTCTAACTGCTGTTCCGTCCTCTTTGTTTCTAACTTTTGCATTCCAATAACCAATCATTATCGATGCAACTTGATTATACATTTGGTCGATTTCTGACTGCAGATGTTGGTAGGATTCTCCGGTTTCGTCATCACGAGCGTTTGTAGTTGGTGTATGAATCTGAATAATAGCTGAATTGGCTGATTTCCTTGAAGGTGGCTAGATACCCTCTTCTCCATCATTGCACTTCAAGATCCACCTTGACGTGTGCTTTTTGAAGCTGGATGTGGCGCCATTCCTCTTGCCTCTGTCACTCCAGGCAGAGTAGACTCCATTATCGCCTGACTCAGAAGGGCCAATACCAGTCTGTTTCAGCCCACGAAGGCCCAGAATATTGATCTTTGTGGGTTCTGTTTCATGTTTGACAAGCTCCAATTTTCCTAGGCTCATACTTCATACAACCCATGTTCTGATTATTAATAGGTGTTTCTTCCTATTTTGAGTCAAGCCTCTCAGCAGATGAAGATCTGAAATATTTGCTCTATCCTCATGCTTAAGGTTGACTCGACTTTGAGGCGTCTCCTGTCCAGTCATATTTTGAATGCCTTCCAACCTGAGGGGCTCATCTGTTGCCACTCTATCAGACAACATTTTCCTGCCAGTCATAAGATTTTCAGTGGCTGTCCCTCAGAATGGATCACCAATTCCTTCTTCCTGGTCTGTTCTTAGACTGAAATCGCTGCTGAAACCTGCTAACTGTGGCTGATGCTGCTAGTAGTTGAAACAGTAGTGGCATGGCTTTCAATGCTGCGGAAATCATCAGAGAAGCTGGATTAGAAGAACAGCGTGGCATCCGGATGGGAGGAAGGCTGATGAACAGCCTGTGATGTGCAGATGGCACCGCCCTGCTTGCTGAAATGAAACGATGCCCCTATGGATTACAATTCAAGGTCAAGCAGACCAAATTCCTCACCACTGGACCAATAGGCAACATCATTGTAAATGGAGAAAAGGTTGACGTTGTCACGGATTTTTGTCTTTGTTGGATCCACCCCACCGTCAGTGCTCATGGAAGCAGCAGCCAAGAGATCAGGTAATGCCTTGCAGTAGGTCAATCTGCTGAATAAGATCTCATTGAAGTGTTGAAGATCGAGGATGGATTTTTGTGTCTTTGTATAGCAAATAA